TAAACCCTAAACCCTAACCCTTAGGTTTCCGGGCCTGCAGAAGCGCCACCACGGCGTTGGCTGCGTGCAGCTGCGCCAAGTGCCGGAGCGACTCCGGGGAGTTGAGCCTCAGAGGCTTCCGTATCTTTTTTCAGGGTTTTAGGTTTCTTGGGGTTTAGGGCTTTAGGGCTTNNAGGGTTTAGGAGTTAGGGTTTAGGATATACGGCTTTGGGTTTAGGGTTTAGGGTTTAGGGTGATTGCTGTCATTTCGTACTATGATTGAACTTCCTATGAGAGATATCATGATTCTGATTGCTACAATTTCTATGATGAGTATGATTTTTATGACGAATATGAATCTGATGATTGTTGTGATTGCAATGGCAGTTAAGCAACTTATACGGCGATATGATTGTTATGATGACTGTGATTGCGGATTACAATATTCGGTTTAAGAAGGGTTATTACAAAAACAATACAACGATTACTAGAGTATCTTTTTAGGTTTGGGGTTCTAGGCTTTCGTGGTTTGGGGTTTACCTTTTGGGGTCTTCCCTTTTGGGGTTTATATCCTTTTGGGATTTCTGGGGCCTCTAGGCTTTAGGGTTGTGTGGTTCAGGATTTATTGGGGCTGCTATAGATTCTGGGGACTGCAAAGGCGAAAGGTGCAGGGAGCTTTGTCCGGTGACAAGTTGAGAGTTCTCTGCTTGATGGCCGGGCAGCAAGTACATGGAAGATAAGTTCTGCAGTCTCCATAGCAGAACATGATATCTATCACTTTGGGCTTCGAACAGGCGAACACACAGGTTTCTCGGCGAGATGAGCGACAGGAACGCACACGACTGCGTTCAGGTGGCGCCAAACTCTGTAGCGCGCAGAAAGCGGCCACTTTCATGTCTGCTTTTCGAGGATATGACGCCTGCACAGGGATTGAGTACACAGAGAAAGACAGGGCAGCACTTTCTGCTGAGTGACATCGGTTGGTGTAGAACAGACGCGCAGAGTTGCAGAGATGTGGCGGCCTTCATCAGCTCCATCAGGCTGACGAGCACTTGGCCCAACCGTCGCCGCGTGTTGCCGTAGGCCGTGTACCTCAAGCTTTCGAGCATCTGGGGCTGCGCTCTGCCAAGAAAAACACCAGCGAGACCTCGAGACCGCTTCGCCGTGGCAATGCTACTCCAGCCAAAGAGCCCACAGCTGTCCTCGAGCCACCAGGCAGCCTGGGAGTCCAAGGAGTCAAAGGCCACAGGCCACAGCTCAAAGCTCAGAGCTGAGCCGTCTTTCGTCGCCCAAGGCGATGTGCCTGACTCGGAGTCTTCCCCCCACATCTTGCACTCAAACCGCCCACCTTTGCACAGAACCCCCCCCCCGGAGCCTCTTTGGCATCCCCCGGAACGACAAGGAGCAGGCGCAAGACCCTGAGGCCCTCCACCAGCATCCAGGGCTGCTCCTGGACAGACCCCAAAACAAAAAAAAAATGGACCCCTGGCCTACTTCGTCGAGTCTAGCGGGCTTTCTTCAATTTGAAGGCTTCTCAGTCTCAGTGAAGGGCTGGAATGCTACGTTGGCACATTGCCAGCTCACAAGGCGGGAGAGAGGTTGCCAGGCTTCCTTTGCAGCTGAAGTCTCGATTTGCCCAGCCGCACTTTCACGAAAAGCTCCAAAAAGCTCAGAAGCTGATACGGCTCATACAAACCAAGCCGAGACAAGCTTGCAGTTTTACAACGGTTGACGGGAAGATCCTCCTTTGGAAAGCTGTGCAGCCGTAGCTGGAGCAGATCCATCACGGCTGAAGTCAGTACCTCTCGCTTTGGCGTGTCTCTGTGTGCATGGGCTGGGGCTTGGCAGTACAAGGCCTTTTGACAGCTTTTGACACGGCGGCGCTGACGGACAAAAGTCAATGCCCTGAGCTTTCTCCCAGCTGTGCCTCGCAGCGCAAGGCCTGGGCGAGCTCAGAGCCACTGGAGTGGGTCTGCAGCACGGCATCCCCTGCAGAGATACCACAGCAGGAGCTCAGAGCCCACCCTTTCTTTGAGCCTTCAAGCTTTCGAGTCTTACGGAGCCGCTGTCGAGGTCTCAGGTTCAAGGCTCCTTGTGAGTATCTCTTGCACCTTTGCATTCGCTGTCCGGGTTCGTGAGTCAAGCGTAGCGCATCACCAGTGCGGGGGGGGGGGGGGGGGGGGNNGGGGCGCAGCAATGTTGAAGGAAGGCTGCGCAAGATGGCACATCTTACACCAGCAGCTGGTCCTAATCTTCTTGTGCAGGGCTGAACCAAAACCCCAAACAATAAAAACCCTAAACCTAAACCAAAGCCACCAAAGAAGTGTCCCACACCGGCGCCTGTTGGGTCTCCCGCCAGCGTCCCGAGTATTCGCACCTTGGCAGATGACTGATTTCCAAAGCGGCCGTACTGTTAGAATCCTCGTTACTGCGATGCTTGTTGCGGCGGGGGTGTTGCTATTCTGGCCCCTACATGTCCTACACTGTCATCTCGGCCTTGTCCTTGTCTGTTTTTTGGCTCTGTGGACATGCTAGGATCCTTTGCCAGCCCTCGAACTCCCAACCCTTCAGCCCCAAACCCCAAAACCCGAAACTCCCAAGCCCTCAAACCCAAAAGAAAATGAAACACGACCAAAACAACCTCCTAAACCTGCCATACCACGAAAACTACACCTCGGAGAGCCCAAGCGGCGATGCATCGCAGGGCCGAAAGCTCCGGAAGCGGCTCGCCAGCCCGCAGCGAGGCCACGAGAGGTGCCAGGCCGGCCCTGGGCTGACGGCTCTGCCAGACATCTGCATTTGTATATGTGTATGTCTGGATCTGTGTATGCATACAAGCATCAGTAAATACATACATATAAATCATATAAATATAATGTATATATATATATATAGTATATATAGCATATATATATATATATATATATATATATGTATTATACGCACACATATGTTGCATGTGTACTCTAGCGCTTGTTTACGCACTTCCTTTACGCATCGTATCATCGCTGCTTTACGCAATTCTACAGAGTTCCTGTATCAGGGTCATCGCCAATTGCTGTCTCGCCGGCGAGGGAGGCAGGGGATGCATCGCAACAAGGCTCGCAAGTACCTTATAGAAACTTGTTGCCAACGTAGCACCTGCCATGCTCATCGAATGCCAGGCGTTGTGCCAAATCCGCCTTCAAGCTCGATAGCTCCGCAAGTCTTTCGAAGTACCCCACAAGGGGTTCATGTGGAGATGGCGGTGGTGATGATGATGATGATCATGTTGATGATGTTCATGATGATGTTGACGACGACGACGACAACGATGATGATGATGATGATGACGATGACGATGACGATGACGATGATGATGGTTCTGGTGCTGGTGCTGGTGCTGATGCTTATGATGCTGATGATGATGATGATGATGATGATGATGACGACGATGACGACGACGATGACGATGACGATGACGATGATGATGATGATGATGATGATGATGATGATGATGATGACGATGGCGATGGCGATGACGATGATAATTGTTCTGGTGCTGGTGCTGATGCTTATGATGGAGGAGGAGGAGGAGGAGGAGGATGGCAGCGTGAGGTAAAGCTTTTACTGCCGACTAGCATCCTCAGCAACAGGCCGATATGCCCAAGGAGGCTGCGTACAAATATTCAAATCACACTTCTGTGACTTCTTGACCCTGGCAACACCCGGCTCTAAGCTGCAGCCACAGGGCAGGAGCTGACTTGTTACCCTTTTGCTGGGACTCGGGTTTGGGGTTTGGGGTTTAGGGTTAGGACAGCTTTACATGAGCCTTTCCTCTAGATAGTGCATGGGTATCTGTTCACACCTTCGTTTATCACATCTGACTGCATGGTCCGAAACCCGCCTCGGGCTCTTCGAAGGAGACCAAGGCTTTCAGCTCCTGGGCCATGCGGGTGATCAGATGCGAAGCTGCCGTATCCAGGGCTTAGGGCTTAGGGCCTCGGGCTTAGAATTCAGGGCTTACGAGCTGCACTTAGGAACAGGGACTAGCAAGTGACTTCAAAGGTCCATCCTCTGTAGCATCCAGAAGGGCTAACTCATCCAGCCCATCACTCGCTGGATCCATGGCCGGGCCCCAGGACAAGGTGTGGCTTCTGTCCATGAGCTGGGCTACATTACATCTTGAGACAACGAAGCTTTTGGTTGTAGGAGTTTCTTTGTGTGTGTGTGTGTGTGGAAACATCCTTTCTGCTGCTAATCCACAACCTGTCTGCCCCAAACTGCGGCCACAGGAACTTTCGGAGCACCAAGCGCCTCATGCAGCCTCATGCATCAGCAGAAGTCACCAAGCACTATCTTCGAGGCCGCCGCTTGCGCCCCAAAGCCCTTGCAACGCTTTTCCCCACGGAGGTCTTGCCCACTCCAGGCGGGCCGACCAGACCTCGCTCGGAGCTGGGTTTAGGGTTTAGGGTGAAAGGTTTAGGGTTTTAGGGTTTAGGGTTTAGGGTTTAGGGTTTAGGGTTTAGGGTTTAGGGGACATTTTTTGAACAACAAGTACTGGAAATTGAATACAACTCACACCACCACGACGACTGCGCTCCCGCCCCTACATCCTGCACTGGACGCCACTCCCATGTACTCATGTCGGCTTCTCGTTTCTCCTTTGCCTCCTCCTATCTCCTCCTCCCCCTTATCCAACCCTCCATACATCCCAGGCCCTTGTCAAGGGCCGTTGGATGAATCTAGTCGTTGCGACGCATGTTACTGCCGACTCATTGCTTTTCATTGACATTTTGACAGACGTGCATCGGTCCCAGAAGTGGTCATGTTCACTTGGCCGCGGGCACATGATCTTGCCTTGGGTCGAGTCCTGTCGGTATGTCCGAAATCACACGGAAAGCTGCGCAGGCAAGCCAGACTTGGATTCAGATGAGCACCACCAGTTCAATCAGATTGAGCTCCACAGGACACCGTTGTCGATTGTGGAACTGCAGGACACCGCATGCAAACGTGTTCAATATCCAGCAGCCGCTTCGAGTGGTTCACGCAAGAAGGTCTCTGATCATGCTCCTTTCAACTCCTGTCCAAAATCCTTAACCTTAAGCCCTAAACCCTTAACCCTAAAAGCCTTAGCCGGGCGAGATTTAGGCCCTAGGCCCGTCAGAGCAAGGGTCCTTCAGGAAGCTCACGGCGATGTGCTCCAGAATCCGCTCCTTCACATCCTCCAAGCCATAGTGGTCCTGCCCGTCAGACTCAGCGAAGCGAAGGGCACCAGACCCGGAAGCCTGAAAATGCAGACGCTCGTCCAATTTGTTTGCAGGGTGCCTCGTCCAGGACTGTTTCGGCGTGTTTGATGTCGCGGTTTTCGGTTGTGAACGCACCTCGGCTGAGGTGTGGTTGATCGAACTCTGTACGAGATAACGGTCAGCCCCGCGACCGTTCCAATCACTGAGGCTTCGTCCCCACGGAAGGCATGTGAGCCACTCCAAGTAGGTGCGGCCTGCAGTCCAAATGCAGAATGGGAGGCAAATCCGAACCTGCCGTGACAGCACCTAGCTTCACCACATCAATCTGAAGGCCTAATGATGTTCAGATACTTGTGCAACGACCACTTGGGGTCACCCATCCCCAGCAGTGACCGCTCGTCGTGCTAGATCTGTACCTTGCCTTCTCAGTGCGAGGAGACGCTTATGCGCCGCTGCAAAGCATGCATGTATTCCTCATGGGCCATAATATCACGAGGACTCAGGGCGGTGTGCTAGGGGCGATGCTGCTGCTGTTTTAAAGTGTGAATGGTGTCAGACCTGGTTAAGTTCGTGGGTGGATGGGTGGGTGGGTGGGTGGGTGGGTGGGTGGGTGGGTGGTGCCAGACCATGTTTTCCAACATCATCCAAAAAATGGCGCTGGCCGTCATCAGCACTTCTCACGTAATCTGGGTACTCTGGTACTGGGTATTCTGATGGCCTACACACAGTCAATAAATACGTCCAGCCAGCCGTGCAGAAACACGCCTAGTTGACACAGACATGAACTGTTTAGGTCGTTTAGGTATAAATAACAACAATGAACACCCAGGGCGCAGGCAGACATTGAATTCCGAAGACGAAGGCTCCAGAGAATTCAGCTTCGCTAGCTCTGCGTCGATGACCTACAACTGCAGTTTGGATCTCTTCCTCCCTGCCCTCTCTGCATGCCCTTGCCTTCTGCACGTCTTCTGGAATTTCCTCACGCTCATGGCCGAAGCAAGAGTGTTGCTTCCGATCCGAAAACCCGGCCCGCCCTGTGTCCTTGGATTGGATGGCATCCCGGAACTGGTTGGTCAGCGTCTGCTTCTCATCCTGCTTTGGGAAGGCTTGAGGAGAAGCCCACCTCAAAACCGTCGCAGTCCTTCTCAATGCCCAGCTCCTTCTGGATCTGACGCATCTGCTCCTCATGGTGGGCTACTTGATCGTCGAGCACTTCAAGACTCCGAAGATGCGACGACTCCGCTCTGAGGCGTCCGGCCCAGAGGATCTTTGTCTTTTGCTCCTTGGCCACCTTCTCCTCCACTTTGCCTCCGATGACACCGGTTTCGGGCTTAGGGTCCCGAAATCGTTGCATCATGTCAAGGTTCGGCCACCCGAGCCAAGCCGTAAACCTGCCACCTTCTTCCTGCGGCCCGAAAACCGCTCGCAGCCCAACAAAAAAAGACAGCGCGCCTGACCTCCAGATCATATATACCGGCACTGAAACCCTCTCTAAATACCCCAAAATCTCCGCACCCCCTGATCCCGTCGAAACCCGAAGACCTGCTTTCCTTACACGGTCTGGGGCAGTGGCTCTTGACCTCCGATTGGAGCTTCGCAGTGCTGAGGTCGGCTTCCAAGATGCTGCGCACCTTTGCCGGATCTCAGACTCGGCTCGGCTCGGATTCCGAAGGTCATCCTCTGTGCGGCAGTTGCAAAAAGCGAAAGCTAGTTCGGATCTCAGACTCTCAAAGTTTAGGGTTTCGGTTTTTGGGTTTTGGGTTTAGGGCTTCACAGAGTCCGCTGCTCTGACCTGTATTGACGAGGGTGTGGGTGGGGGTGGCGGCAGTGGTGAGGTGGGTGGTGGTGCCAGAGCCTGGCTGGCTAGGTGACTTTTGGTAGCAGGCGTGGGAAATTATCCTTGCGACGTCAATTAACGAACTGCAACAAGGCTTTCCAAAAGGAGGTGTGGTGTTCGTGGTGACTAGGAGGCGCCAATCATGGCTTCGCTAGTGGAACGGTCGATGTCATGCACCTCGCGAGGGGTTTCGCACCACCATGTCCCGGGCTACCCTGTTGGTTACGGATAACTAATTCGAGAATTTCGCAGAAGTAGCTCAGGGTTTAGGGTACAGTAGCTCTTCAAAGTTCGGGATGAAGTCACGCCTTCTCGATCTTGATCTTTGCATCTTTCTCTTCGAGGACATCCTGCCATCGGGATGGCGGACAGGGCCAAGGTTCAGAGCGCAAAACCCTAAACCCCTAAACCCTAAATTAAACCCTAAACCCTAAACCCTAAATTACACCCGAAACCCGAAACCCTAAACCCTAAATAACCCAAAAATTAAAACCCGAAACCCCAAACCCAAATCTGGGCACAAGCGACTTCTGTCACGAAACCCTCGGAAAGCCTGCAGGGCTTTCCTGTCTCCCGAAGAGATCCCAGCCTGCATGGTGCGCAGCCTATTCGGAGGTTCATGGGTAGTTATAAGTGGGGTTATAAGTAGGGTAACTGTAATATGCTGTAATTATAAACCATATTAGGGGGCTTATAACCCTATGTATAACTACCCATGAACCTCCAAGTACTGACTGCAGGACGAACTCCTCAGACGTGCGCCCTACCACCGAAGTTCAGCACACTGGGATGCAGACCGCGAGGTCAGCAACTTGCACCTGGCCGGACTACAGGTTGCCACGAGCCTGTAAGATGGCATCAAATTTTGGGGGTTCCTTATTGTAACTATAGTATAATGGGCCCTATTTTGGGGGCTCCTTATTATAATTATAGTATAATGGGCCCTATTTTGGGGGCTCCTTGTTATAATTATAGTATAATGGGCCCTATTTTAGCTTGCCAGGGAGACCGGATCTTCCATGTCGAAGTGCTGTACCACCTCACAGCTCGCAGCAGAGATTGCGGTCGCCATGATGCTGCAACCCGAGTTCCGAATCACTCAGCACCCACGGCAGCTCAACAGAATCTGACGGTGTCCCCGTGCTGCCTGGTCGTGCTGCTCCCTGTGCAAGGGCGAAGCTGTCAAGAGCTTCTTCATCTGCGCGATCTGCCATGAGCTCTCACACTTCACAAGGGTAGAGAAACGGCATCGAGGGTTGCTTTCAAGACCGTTGAAGGGGCTTGCGGCTCGAGTACAACTGCCTGGAGGGCTGAACGTGTAAATATCGCCAAATATTTGCACTGAAAACCAACCTGGAGGCAAGCTGCTTTGAGAAAAGCTGTCGCGTCCTCCCCTAACCCCTAAACCCCTAAACCCTGAACCCTCAAACCCCAATTTCTGAAGATGCTTTTCTGAGACTTTCCATGCAGCAAACTTGTTTTTCCTCTGCTCCGATCTGTCGGCGCTGCTCAAGGCCGTGGCACTCAGAGCGCCACTGCGAAACCCAGAACACCCAGGGCCAAAGAGATCACCTCATAGAAAGATGTGTGTATACATGTGTATATATATATATATACAGCGCAGTATGATAAAGTATAGTATAGTATGGGCCGGAACGAGGCACGACTCTAGACACGACTGCTTCTGCAGTTCGGTCTGCCTTCCTTGACACAGGTTACAGACGAGGAAGGCTCCCAGAGTTGCTTGGGACACGTAATGCATCTGACTGCAGCAGAGGGTCTGCCCTGCCAGTAGAGCTCCTTTCCTGCGGGTGAGATGGGAAGATATGGGAAGATGCTGAAGGCTACAGGACAGCAGAATTGCATGCCATAACTGAAGTGCCCCGTGCTTCCATGCAGCTCTCCCTCCAGCCTCTTCCTTCTTTGCCTCTTCGGTGGTGGTCTGCCAGCAGGGGCATTTAATGAGACGCACGTGTCAACTCATCCTTCAAGCTGGCGTCATCAGGAAGTACCAAACTTTGCGTGGAGGATGGTGCATCTGGCTATGTCCGCCAGACGCAGAGCAGGCAATCTTCTGCAATGCATGTTTCCTCCCAACCCGTTCTATACACGGATGGGCCTTGACATCGCTCACGACCACTTCCTGTAAACTGCTTGAGTTTGTGTCAGGAGTGAGACCTAGTCGACATTGAGGGCATGCGGAAGTTGAACGAAGGTCGGAGGAAGACAGTGGAAGCTGGACCCAATTGAATCAAATCCAAGGTTTTTGGTACCTCCGATTCTCTCTGCGTACGCTCAACACTGGCATAAGCTTCACAAGAGCTGGAATCCTTGGTGTGGACGTCGACGGATACCTCCTTACCGCTGAGTGGATTGGTCAGTAACGGACAAGCAGGAAGCAAGCACTCACATCTTGGGTAGCCAGAAGCTTGCATCCCTGAAAAACGTTCTGATGTGCTGCCACTGAGTCTGGCTTGTTTGGCTCCGTAGCCGTCGAACCCTGCACACGCATGAGTTTCTTAAGAGCTGCGACCTCACAACCGCTTGCTGCGTAAATTCACATAGCGGTCGAGAGCCCAGAGTTGAGTGGGAGGAATCAATTCAAGCCTTGGTCTCATTCACCACCACGGTGACCTGAATCCGAAAATCGCATGCTACTTGCGGGAACGCTCGGAAGCCCACCGATCTGAAAGTTCCTCTCCACTGCGCTGGCACTAGCAAGAACAACATTACCACCATGATCCTCACACGCTTCAGGAGAGCGACATCAACCTTCTCGTCGTCTTCAAGAGGGCCCTTGTTGTGCACGGTTACCTCCTTGGACGGGGACCATTCGGGCTCAGGATCGACTTATGCAGCGAAGCAAGCAACCCCTACCAAGCTTGGGCACACCGACCGCAGGGCCTTCCCTCTCAAGTCCTAAACAACCCTGGACTTATTGACCTGTTATGTAGCAAGGTGGTGCCTTGGACGAACCCTCGTGCAAAGCCAAGCACCATGTCCCTAAAAGCGCTAAAAGCAGAAAAAGCCTCAAACCCCGATAAGAGCCCAGAGACTCCAATATTCCTTAATCAAGGAATATACCTTAAATTATAGTAGGATCCCTAATACGATTTAAGGTATAATCCTTAATTAAGGGGTATTGGAGTCTCTGGGAGTAGTCCCTACAGCCGGGGGTCGGGTCCGGTCGCTTTCTCTTCCTTCTTCACCTCCTCGGGCACGATCTTAGTCTGCCAGACGGGCACAGCGGCAAACCGGGAGGCCACCGCTCTCGGATCGGACTCTACGATGCTGTTAGATGCTCATTCGAGGGTTCTCCCACATTTGTTATTCCTGTGGCCGAAAGCAAGTTGTACTCGGAGAGTGACGATGCGCGCACTGCCAGCTGTCAACTGAAGCACTTTAGCGGGCAGCATGCATTCAGGTCGAGTGGTAACCGCATGCTCACTCTTGAAGAACGCATCCGGACGATCTCTCTGTGATTCTGAAACGGCTGATGATTTTTGCGCTACCCTGCTCAAGGCGCCACACGAGACAACACGCAAGAGCCCCCCTTCTTTACGACAGAGCTGACTATGACCTCAGTTACAATGGCACCAGCCGGCCTTGCCCTGGTCATAAGGGTCGTGGATCTCCTTAATTTTCGGATTCAGGCTTCGGGCTGTTCCTCAAAACTTAACTCTTGGTCGCCGGTGTTTGGGATGCAGAGGGGTTCGCGTTTCATGCAGGCGGCCCAGTCTAGACTACTTCACTGCGTGCTTCCGATCCGAAGCAGGAGGAGTAGGAGTATGAGTAGGAGTGAGAGTACGAGTAGCAGTGCGGCAGTAGCCGTGGCAGTAGCAGTAACAGTAGGAGTATCACTAGTAAACGTCGTAACAGTAGTAGCAGTAGTAGCAGTAGCAGTAGCACTAGCACTAGCAGTAGCAGCAGTAGCAGTAGCAGTAGCAGTAGCAGTAGCAGTAGCAGTAGCAGTAGCAGTAGGGGTAGAACTAAGGATCCCGAGTGCAATATTGTGGTGCTG